TTTCATTGTCTTACCACATTAAATGAACATCTAAATTAACGTCAACATTTTGAGCCTTACAATTACATTGAAATAGTAATAAAGCTGTACTATTTTGCTGCTTAGTTAAATAAAAAAACAACATTTCACAGCCTTGTCCTATGAAAAACGCTACCTTATAATAAGCTTGATATTTATCATGTGACAAAATGTGCCTCACAGTGAATGATCACATTTCCATTTCCCTGATTCAATTTAAATTAAACGTTTCCTTAAATAGATATGATATTTTCCCCATTTAGAATATTATTAGATGTAATGAGTACTTAGTGTTGCTGCTACAGAAACGTATTAATGATTATTTGTAGCGAAATGTCAATCACTTAGTATGAAATAAATAAATATGCCAAATGTTATCTAAATATATCTATAAACAAACTAACCATTGCCATTAACTTAACCTCCATAAAAATAATACAGAAATCTTAAATTAACAGTTTTTTCATTCTTCCGCAACCATTAAGCGTAAAATAACGCTTCAATATGATAATTATATGTTTTGAAGCTCTTAAAATGGTTTAGAAATAAATTTCAAAATTTTATGTTTTATAGTTAAAAGTTTAAAATTATGCCAGTTAAAATAAACGTAGGTTTGCCAATCTGATTATTTTTGGTCAAGTTACAGTTTCGTGCTAACGGACACATTTATACATCTAAGGGGACATGAAAACAAAAAAATGACGTTCACCTGAGTATAAATATATAAATAATTAAATAGTCTTTTTAGTGTGTTTGTTAGAGATTCTCAAGCAAACTTAAGCCATTACATTACGGTTTCGTATTATACTGGGTGGCGCATAAAGAACGCATGGATTTGAGTTGAGTGGTAAGAGCAATAAAAGCGTCCGTGGAGGGACTGGGCCTGGTTGTTTTGTAGGTTAGGGCGTCCAGTTTTAGTAGTAATGGTGCAATCAACCTGACGCATCACGTTTTTGCTGTAGAACATTTATTAAAAAATAATGAATCTTATATAACTGTTCAATGGCTTCTCCGTGCATAGTTCAATGGTTCAAAACAAAACCCGATCGCAACACAATACTTTGTTGGATAGCTCCTTTTCGCACAATTGAATCAGTTATGAAGCAGAAGTGGTTTGGTTGTCCTTGCACGGCGCGAACTCCACAAAATGTCGACAGAGTAAGGGCGTCTGTTACACTAAGCGATGCGCTCCAACTGTGTGCTTGTCTTGACGCTCGTTGCAGGGCAACCTGAAAGACGAGTTAAAATTTCATCCTTACAAAATTATGATCGAACAGAAGATTTATGAACGTGATTACGAAAATGGAAACTGTTTTGAGAGAATGGTTGATGTTCTTGCCACTGATGGCGTTTTGTGTGTGATGTTAATGATGGAGCGCAGTTTCATTTGGATAGTTATGTCAATAAGCAAAACTGGCACTATTTGGCAGCAGAAGACCCAAAAGAATTGCATCAAAAACCACTGCACGATTTGAAACTTAACGTTTTGGGCCTTACCGTACTTTTTTCAGGACTCGCGGAACATTGAACTTTGTGCAGAAAAGCCGTTGAACAGTTTTAACAGATTTAATTACTTTTGAATAAATGTTCTACCGCAAAAATCCGATGTACCACGGACCACTGCACCATTGCTACTAAAACTGGACACCCTAACCTACAAAACAACCAGGCCCAGTCCCTCCACCACGCTCCTATTGCTCTCACCACTCAACTCAAATCCATGCGTTCTTTATGCGCCACCCTGTATGAAATATAACTTAACCATCCAAAAACTATCCGTTACTGCAACACCACTTTATATGCAACTAATATCCCAATTAGTGACAGTGATGGAAAAGCTTGTGTTAAATTGTAGGACGAGATGTTTTGCAAATGGAAATTCTAGTGGTTCGCCACAACTACCACAAGCCAACCGCATTGTGTGAGGGCAACAACAATCACATAGTAGCTGAGCCGTCTCTGCTTTATCACACTGCTATCATCTCCCCAACACCGCTAATCCAAAGCTGCATAAAAACAAATAAATGTACCTCAAACTAAAGAAACATAAATCTTTTTTAAATGTTTTTTAACTATTAAAAATACAAAAGCGTTTATATACAAATGGTATGACTAAAACACGAGCATTATAAATTGAAAAGTAAGCCTGAAGTACAACTTATGCAAAGATATAAGAGGTAAGTAAATATTGTGAGCCAATCAATTTTATCGACTTTCCTTTATGAAGGTGTTACAGGGGGTTTAACTAATTTTAAAATAATATTCACCCTTAAAATATAATAACACCTAATTTTAATTACATTAATCATGTAGAGCTTAAAACACACTGATTCGGTACAATATTTATTGTTGTATTTTGATTCTATAAATAAATATGTGTATCACTATATGGGCTAATTTATTTTTTTCTTTTAAAACATTTTACTTTGTTACCGAACACAAACCTAACAGCAAACATAAGTACTCGTTTAAACTAGGGAATATTTTTGCAAAAATATAATCATGCAAATGGAAATTCGCTTTTGATTTGGGTATTACATATAAATTTATCATAACTCAATATGTATAGTTATAAATATACACAGTACTATTAAATTGGACGTGTTAACTGGCAAATGAAAGGTTGTGTTAAAAAAATATGGAATCTCATTTATACAGGCAGTTCCAAGCAGTATAATTGTTTACGTATTACGATAGTTGAACTAAATTAATGAATAGTTGGAATTGTACTTGGTCGCCCAATAAAAGCTAGGTAATATGTTATAATTAATTAAATGAACTTTATAGTAAACTTAGTAGATTGGCCATAACCATTAACGGTAGGCCCTCTAATAAAAAAAAAACCTAGGTCTATCAGCAGACCTTCATAATGAGATCTTGTTCTGTGTCCGAAGCACCCCTCCAATAATATCCATATCCATATGCTTTCGTTCAGTAGTTGTTATTTATAATTTTTGAATCGGAATAAACAGTCGTACCTATATCTATCTCTTAGAAACAAATATCTCTCCATAGATGTCTATAACTATAAGTAAAATAACTGTATAATAAATTTTACTCTGTTAAAGATTCTATTAAATTAAATTGTAATGATAATACAATTGATAAATAAATAAATATTTATTGGAAACAATATACTGTATTATCATACTGCTTAAGTAAAATTACTCTTTCGGTTGTGGTTATTTTTTAAGTTGAAATATCGTAATTAACTTCAGCTAGAATTACTGCTAACATCAATTACCTCTAAAGGTGGGCTGGAAATATCCCTCCTCTTTCATTAATACAATTGTAATTAGGTAATAATTCCTTAAGCAACAAAGTTGCTTTTCGTATTCAATGGAAAATTAATTTGGCTTAGCAGTTTTGAGTAGAAAATAAATATATCTGTTATTCAAAGCATGAAATGGGACCATATATTTACCATTCCCAAAGAGAGGTCAACATGAATTTATCCGTAGTAAAGTAGCATTAGTCTTAAAAGGAAAAGGGTATGCGGTATTTTCTTCTTTACATTTTGAAATTAATCCGGATTGATGGTTGGACCTTTTGATCTTACAAGAGCAACGCTAGTAAATTGACGGCGGAGGTAATAACATGGGGAATTACAACCATTAACTATCGTAAACCACCTACTTCATCTTAGGCTTGATCTCTGTGGTGAATTGGGATCAAGCAGTTAATACAGTATTGTATTTTTTCATAAGTAACTTTTAGCGAATTTTCCATACAGAAAATAAGCTATAATCTTAGGTAAGACCTAGAACCGGAAAAGATTTACTTTTTTATCTTGTGCGTGTGTGCGTGTTTTGCGTCCGTTAGCACGACGACTCTAGTTAAAATCATACGATGTTAATTAAATTTACAGTAGTACAAACGTGTAAATCCACGTATATTCGAAAAAGTTCTCAAACCAGCATGGGGACGGGTTTAACATAGTAAAAATAGGTTTCCCCATTTTCGCCCCTTAAAACATGAATGTTTCTAATTTTGGGGGGGAATAAATTCGATACTTTTAATAATCAAAATCGAACCAGGCAAATGTAAATTTGTTTATCTGCAGGTTTTCTGTGGTAAGGGTTTTTAATTGTTTACAATATAAAACAAATATCATATTGACTAACGAAATAAACGTAATGCTATTACTGTACGACTTAATCATTTAGTTCAGATATTTATCACTTGCTTTGCTCGTCTATTGATCAAAATTGCTTAAAGTAACTTCTAAAATTTGTATGTAGGAATCACACTAAGTTTATTTTTCTGTTATATTCACCACACTAGGTTAGCAAGGGCAGATGATTTGTACATAGAAAATACATTATTTACTTTCATTTGAAATTTTTAATTACATAATCTAACTTGACCTACTCTTCTGTTATACCGACCACACCAAGTTAGGTTAGGTTAGGTTAGGTTAGGTTAGGTTAGATTATGTAACCAAATATTTGAAGAAAGTAAGTCTTCAAATAATCTTACCTAGCCTAACCTGGTGTGGTGAATGTAACAGAAAAAACTCGGTGTGGTCGATCTAACAGCAGAGTACCGAAAGTTTTAAATGCGTATCACGTTTGTAATCTGAGGTAATCTGATTTCTACATTGAATTTTTAGAAGTTACTTGAAGCAAGTTTGCTCAAGAGAGTACCAAGATTTCTTACCTGGCCTGTTCAGAATGCAAGAATGATCTTTATGATGAGTGTGTATTTTACTTTTTAACTTTAATGATTTTCAGCATACTCTGGATTAGGCTACAACTTAGTTCTGTGACGTTTCATTTAAATATGGCATAGATTCCAGCAATATTACCACTAAATATTCAAAATTGTCTACACTTAGTCTTTTATAGTTAAAGTACTTTCCAAGAATAGCTGAAATCACGTCAAATATCTTATAGTATCCTATAAAACCGAATGAAATGTAAACAACCCCGTGTACCAAACATAATTAAACGTTTTGAACTGGTTTTATGTTTTTGTTACAGGAACACTTACAGTAAACATGAGTGTGTTACTGCTGAGTCTTGCGTCCCCGGACGAATCTAGCCTTGTAAGTATTTTTGAGCTATTGTAGATTTTGTAATAACATCTTCATCATTTAAATGCAGCGTTAGCAGGGCCGGGTATAGTAGCTAGTACTAGCTACTATACTAGCTACTATCCCTGGCCCTGAGTCAGTGTTGCTAGAAGTTTTAAGAGGTTATGACTGTATATTCAAAACATAAAATTGAAACAGGCTGCATTCGCAGTCTTGCCACGTGTTTATAGCCATGTTCCATAATTTAAACCTTCCCCACGTAGCATCATTGTTATATAAATTCTTTAGTTCAACGTGCATTTTTCTTTACGTGATTGTGTCATGTCAAATGCGAGGATTGAATGCTTACTTGTGCTTTCAAAATAGTAAGTGGTGGGTTAGGAGAAAGCGAATGCGTGAAGGGAGTAATAGAAGGCCTTAGGGCAGCCTTGTATAATTGATGGGTGTACACAATGGTGAGCTTGCATGATTACACTTTTTCTTGTATTCACAGGCTGTGGATTAAATATACTCTTTCAACCGCGGTGCCTAGTAAAGTGACTGAATTTGATCGGTCGGTTTATTGAAATGACTTCTAAAAACACTAGTGCATCGAGTGACTAATTTAGATTGTCTTCCTTTAATTTGCTTTTATATAACCTCATATAATGTTACCGTACCTTTCTGCCCCATGCAATAATGATATTTATAATTACTAATGTCCAATGGCAAAACAACAGGAAAACTGTTTCTGGGTATAGTTTATAAAAGTAAACAATTTGTTTTGTGGATTAGTGTTTTTGCTTGAAAAATTGTAAATTATAGTTGAAAATATGACTCCACTAGGTAAATAATGATCTTGATACTATATAATAATAATGACTATTTTTATATAGGCATTATTATTTTAATTTTATTTACAAGATAATCCCTTACTAAGGTTTTCATTGTTAAGTGATTGTAATATCTATATTATGGATGAAAACTAGTTTAGGTTAACAATCATGGAACCATCTCTTGGCATAAAATAATTAAGAACATGGCATTATAAGAAGGTCGTTAGAATTTTACACACGCGCTTACAACACGGCTTGACAAAACGTGGATAACATAACAGAAATGGTAAGGATCATAGACATTTAGCCTAGCTAAAGTATAAACATTACTATGGTACGATTACTTGTTTACATTCAAACCAGTTATGTGTTTATGGTGCCTGTATAAGTCTTGGGTTATCCGGGGGCTACTTCCCTTAAGTTGTACGGTATTGCGTTTTTATGAGATTCATAAAATCGGCATATACTTTTGCAATTGAAAGTTGTATGTACCATAACGTCTATTTAGTTGCGAGACTCCATCTGGTTTCTTATTATATTACTGTTTTTATTCGCAGAAATATGAAGTGGAGTTCCTACTACAGCAACAGTGGTTCGACCCACGGCTAAGGTACTACAACCAGAGTCGCTACCCCTTCCTGAACGCCATCCATCACCATGAGAGTATCTGGCTGCCAGACACCTATTTCATCATGCACGGCGACTTCAAGGACCCCCTCATTCCTGTGCACTTTGCATTAAGAATATACCAAAATGGCTCAGTCAGCTATTTAATGAGGTAAATTCAACACAGCATATTTTTTCATTATGCTCTAGAAGAGTCTCTATTTTTTTATTGAGATTCACTCTTTACATAATACACACCAAAAACTGTAAAAGTAACTTCCAAGTCCCTGAGCTATAGGTTGCGAAAATGTAGCCTTGCATACAGGATTCACACTGTTTTTATGGGTTGTTATGACACTTTTGGACTTTAATTCACATTTTAGCATAGCTCAAGTTAATTTTAAAGGATCTTCTTTGGTTTTTTAGTTATTATCTTTTGAGCATGTTAACTGAAAGAAATGGAGGGAGCTGGATTTGTACACTAGGATCAAGGTTTAGACTTTGTCTTCCTAGGTGCGGAAGACCTTCCTTACCTTTTCCAGCAAATCATTTATCCCTTTTTTCAGAGGTTTTAGAATATTTAATTATTGCAATAGTGTTGGATTTGTCCACCCTCCCTGACATCTGATACTGCATTACCGTTTATATCATTTTGTAATAAATTATCTCCCCTTTATTAGTAGTAATATGTTAGGAATATATAAGTTGAAGCATTGAGATTTGAAATCACAGTCCCATGCACATTCTTTGTCCGAAGTCTTAAGACATATGGTGCAAATTCAACAAGGCAGAACTTAAAAATGAACTATATCTTTCAAAACATATTTATTATGTATTGATGAAATCAATCAAACCTATTTTTAAAGATTTGGCAATTATAAATGTGCTTAAAAAACTAAAAGTCGAATGACAAAATCCCAATGATTCTTCAAATAATGGCATTAGGTCATAAGAACGGTATAGGACGGTTTTAATTTAAAAGAATTGGGTTTTAAAATTTTTTTCATGAAAATACCCATTTTTTATAACAGTCATATTGTAGAAAAAAACTAATTTTGTATATTGAAGCGTTATTGTTAAATTAAACGTAACGGAGAAAATGCCCAAAGATTTTACATTTAAGATTCTTATGTTATTTTTATAGAGAAAAGGACAACTAACTGTTGTAGTTTGCTTGTTTATGGATGTATGTTGACTAAATTCCGCAAGTTTATTTTTTTAATCCTATACTATTGCCATTTTGGAAAAAACACCTTTTGCCTTACAAACTTTATACAAACTTACTTACTTACTTTTTACGAACTTTATTTTTTTAGCAGCAAACTTTGTTACCCGTTAGATCTACTGCTGTGTAATTGGGGAATAAATACGTCTTGTTTATGAAAATGTTTCAGATAAATTTAAATTCGCTTAGTCTGCAGATTTGCTGTGGTGGGGCTATTTACTTTAAAAGCTTACAATATTATATCTGAATTTTAAAACTACGTACATTTTTATGTTAATCTTCAGATTCAAATAACTGTTACGGTAATTCCCATCTTGCTGAATCGTGGGAAAAGTATGTCATTTTTTGTAGGCCTCTTAATCATTATGCTACTATAAATAAGCAGCAATAGGTAATCATGTTTGTATCTGCAGAAAACAAGAGTGAAGTAAAATTTCGAAATTTATATCCTGGTATAAACGCATAGCTTATTGAACATAACTAATTAGTAATTAATTGTTTAATCACCCCCAGCACTACAGGAGAGCTACACAGGCACCAAATCAATCATCTTGTTTTCCTAATTAGAGGAACTTTGGGCAATTCAATTACAAGTTGATGGGAAGTAGATACGACGATAACATCCACTATTATAAAATATATATTGTTAAGATTTTGCAGTTTGGGCTTTTTTCTCAAATATTTCGATTAACTAATCATTTTGGACTTGAGTGTAAATTGTTTCGGTTTTCAACCACTGCGGTAAAATAGTATATTACGTTACTAGTCCTGAAAATAAGTGTTTACCGGACGAGTGTGGTCGTTCCCGTGCGAGACGAAGTCGAGTACGGGATTACCATACGAGTCCGGTACACACATTTCGGACGAGTTACGTACGATAGTTTACGCCATACTACCAAATCTGTACAAATCCTAATATATTTTCACCAATCAAAAGACCAAAAATCACTAGTCATAGAGGTTATGTTTTTGTTAATAACCATTCATTGCAACCTAAATATAGTATAATCAGCTGATTGGTGTCCGGCAAAACTCATTACAGCACAGTAGTGCGCAATGAAACCCCATTTGAATAAGCTGGCGGCAAACAGCTGTTTTCTGGACTAAATCTTTGCGTGGGAAGTTCGTCAAAATAATGTAGTGTGGCGTAAAGAGTATTATTTATTACCAAGACTAGAAATTCTGTATCTTAACTTACTCATAGTTGTGGAAGGTAGTGTAACAAAATTCGGCTCTAGCATAACTTCATACTGTGTGTACTGAAAGATTAATTTCTATTTTAACTATTAATATTTTATTTGGAAGAGTCCAAAGCAATTTATACGTTGTATTAACTCTAAGCTTTAGGCAGGATTGGTTGTTTTCATAACTAGGTCAGTAATAAGGTAGAGGTAATGGGCATTAGTGGGTTATAAGTTTTGCCACATTTGCTCTTATGATTAACATATCGCAATGTGCATTTAGAAGCTTATATTCAAAATGAACTAAGAGAGACTACCTCAAGATGTTAATACATCTTAATTTTATTTCAAACAGACGTAATGGTAATAACAACAACTAAAATAGCAATAAAATAGTAGTTGTTCATTGGTAAACTGGGGATTAAAAAGTAAGGCATTTACATAGTGAGTAATAAATATGTTATGTAAATAAAATTTTCAATGTTCTCATTTCCAGCTATTGACCCTAACCTTTTTTAATCATTGATAATTTTATTAGTTTGATTACTTAATAGTTCGATTTATAATTAGTTTGAGTTAGTCGTAAGTAGTATTCAAAAAAAGTAATCCTTTTCTGAAGTGAATCAGCCTAATACAGATATATATATATATATATATATATATATATATATATATATATATATATAAGCTGATTCTTAAATCTATGTCTTAGGTCCTGAGTTCTTGTCTTAAATGTAAGGTGACGCGAAAGAGATAACCTAATGGTACTAATAGTTTGTAGACTAATAGTCAAACTACTAGTACACTCTCAGAACAAAAAATTGACCGGAAGGGTACTTAAAGGCTTGTGGCATATTAGCTCAACTTTTTCAGTGGCCTTGACGTGTTTTGGTTAGGCTTTAAATCATGTTCTTTAGTACGTTTCATCCATGTAAACCTGTAGAATAAGATATTTATTTGTGTTTTCTTGTCAATTAAGTAAAATGTGTTCTGTTTTAGGCGACACCTGATATTATCATGTCAGGGGTCTCTCAATATCTTCCCTTTCGATGATCCTCAATGTTCTTTCGCTATGGAGAGCAGTGAGTAGTCATTGATTTAATTTTTGATACAACTAGTCTTTTTGCGTATTTTAGGTATTCAATTCAGCAATTAATTAATTTAATGCATGCATGGGCTAAAAATGAAGAATGTAATAATGGAAACTTGATTTGTTTTGTACCATAAACGTATTTTTAATAACGCTGTTCGATCAGAGAACTAAAGAATTAAGAAACATGTTACAAGGCACTTCTTAAAGTTAATCTCTGGAGATTTTTGTTTTTCCAATCAATAGTGTTACATATTTTTGACTTTGTAATGTGTGGAATATTATCTTAAGTGATTATTTGTTCAACAAAGGCCACTCATTGTTAATGAAAATTGATTTGATAAGAGGTACCTGGACTATCATAAAAAATGTATACTGAATTGATTTAATCGAAATTTTTAAATCTAAATGTACTTTCCACAATATTACAGGGAATTGTTTTATCAGGTAGAAAGTCACAAGGAAATATCTACTTAATTATTAATAATTAGAAAAAATATAAACTGTTTTCGTGTATACAGTCAAAACTTTTATTATTTTTTATTTTCAAAATGATAATTTGTCAAGATAGACCTTGTTGTTAGTAGGTTTTATAGATACTGATATATGATCAAGGAATGTAAAATGTAGTGTTCAGTAGTTAGAAGACTTTTGCTTGCTTAAGGTTGGCAAACATTGCTAATATATTTATGATGTTTTAGTATCGTACGACTTATCAGCCATCACGTATGTCTGGAAGAATGACGAAGCAACCCTGAGGAAAAGCCCTTCACTGACGACACTGAACGCTTACCTGATCAAGAATCAGACGATTCCCTGCCCTACGAAGGCCAGCTGGCGAGGTAGGTGCAATTTTGGCTAAGGAATGGCTTTTAAACCCCATTTCCCACTACTAATCTTGTTTTGTAGTTACACCTCTTCTGTATATAGCGCTAGATACATTTGAATGTTTTTGCATTGATGTTATTTTACATTTTGATTGTTTCGTAATTTGAAATCGAGTTTTTACCTAAAATCATATTTGAAACCATTAGGTTAACAGATTTAAACAGTCATTTTCCCTAAAAACTCAGTTTGTTATATATGTATGGTTGTATAAAAACAGTTATAAATGCTGATGAAACCTAACTAAAAATACTTTTTTTTACCTATTCCCAACTACTACATTTCTTATTGTAACTTTTCTTAGCACTATACAATAATTATCAAATCGATTAAGTGCTCGTCACGAACTAACCCAGCAAAATTAATTTTCAATTTTAATAACTGATGGTTAAACGTATGTTGAATTTTTATACATTAAAAAACAATTCATATTAATTTCTAAACATAAAGTAACACAATACCTATTTTTTCACATGTTAGTTAGGTTTTAAGTAGGAGCAATGTACAAATAGATTTTTTATAAAATGGTACACCCATGCTTTGCTTGGTCTTTAATTTGTATCAAGGCAGTAACTATTGGAGGACTGATGGTATGGGTTGCGTTGGTTTCATGTAACACTTAAATTTACATTGTTCATCCTTGTCGATTACATGCACAACGGTTACAATGATATAGTAGGCCTATCGGTACCTGTTGATTAATACCTATACTAAAATTACATCAAAAGCCAATAGTAAGGTTTTACATTACGTTATAATGGATTATAATGGATAGCAAATAGAAAACACACTATTCAGTATTTTTCGATCAACTATTTGGTAGAAGGAATCCTTCATTTGTAATTGTTTCTTTAAAATGTAGGATTATTTGTTTTTAAAGTTAATTGTCCATTATAAACACAAAATTATATTTGTTCAGACCATTGCACGAATTTTCAAACAGAAATTGTGACCAATTTCCATCGTTTCATTAGTAAATTTAAGACGTATACTACACACTTTATTTCCTTTATTTTTCAATCAACCACATGTCCTAATGTTTACGATTGATCAGGTCTTGATGGTTCTCAAATCGTTTAAGTGTGTACAATTTAAGTTTCAATGGGTTATATTTTTATCTTTCACAAGCTGACAGTTTTATGTTAGGGTTAAACATTTTCTTAAACCCTCGATTGTAGCTCACTTGAATATTTATACCCATAAATTATTCTTATGCCTCTAAAACACAATTAATTGTTTAGGTGACTATGGTGTTTTATTGGACACACTATACAGTGTTAGTTCTATACCCATTTAGTTCTTGGGTTGTAAACTAAATGTTAGGAAGTTTGGATCTAGCAGTATATTAAAACGTAAAACATATCTTTAGTAGTTATAAGACAAACCAATTGTTATATTCTAGCATTGTGCTTGTTGGTTAACCTGATAAATTTTCAAACATTTCTATTTCTGGCTTCTTACTGAAGGGCCATACGCATTATGTAAGTTGGACACTAGTAGACGCGCTTTCAGCTAGCCTTAAAACTACAATTCTGCCTAAATCGTACAGTATTTGGACCTCATCGCTTAACTGCACACAACTTGGGCAGCTTCTTATTTAGTGCTTAAATACGCTTCTCAGTATGTACATACAAATACGATTATTTAATTACTTAGTGTTTTCTTGATGTAATTACCATTTTGTATTCAGGAAACAGTTTTATTTAAGGAAATCCATATTTTAATGGAGGCTAAATACTAGCGAAATAATGTTTGTTAACATTAGTTTTTATGATTTTACAAATCATTAAATGTAACTTTAAATACTCTTTAAAATGTTTCATTTTCAATTTAGTAACGTTTAATTAAAAGGAAACATACCAGAAGCTCTTCCATTTATTAAAGGATACCCGTAGCTCTCAAACATATAAATGGAATATATGGGCGGGGGTTGGTGGGAATGGCTTGGGGGTGGTGGGCGAGGGGTTGTCATGCAAGTTTGATTAAACTGTCCTAGACCTGTTTAGTTTATGAATAAGTTATTATATTTATTCCAAGAAAATAAGGATAAACATATTGGTTAGTGAAGTTGATGGATAAATAAATAAATGTCTTTATTAGCCAGCGTACATCAGATTATAGATTTGTTTTACATGAAAACCTTTGTGAAATACAAACTCTTAAAGGTAAAGAAAAACACAAGCTCCTTAGAAAATAAAACTACGGATAAATATCTTAAACATCATATTTGTAACTTTTTTGTTTCACTCCTGCTGGCAAAGCGTTGTGAACCAGGGGCTCAAAGTAGGAAAAGGCATTTCCCCATCTCAGTTCTGATCCGCGGTAACTGCAGCATGCCTTCCTGAGGCGCTCACAAACCTCAGATCAAGATAATGAGGCTAGTTTGTCAGCAGCGTCTTATAAACAATGATTGAAATTTGAAGATCAGAGATTTGCTTAATGGGCAGCGAATTTGCTTTCGATCTAAACTCACTGATGTTGTCAAATTTCTTCAGATTATAAACAAAGCTTAGAGCATTATTCTAAAGCCTTGTCAGTTTTATTTTCCTTCTCTTTGTTGAGCAACCGGAAAAAGTAGGGATGCAGTTATGAATGGATAGAAAAATCACTGCTTCTATTTGATTTTTAGCTAACGTCAGTATAGACATCATCCTGTGTAACCGTCTCAGCTTGCCAATAGCAACCTGACAGATACAGAAGCTTTCCATTTCTAAATACAGTACTAAAATATTGAAGGGACATTAAAAAATTATACCTTTAAGTTGGATGATCGCATTGTGTATTAGAAGTATATTCAGGGAAAGTGGAATTCTTAACTACAAAAATGAAAGTAACTAAACAAAGATTTTTCGTTTTAACTTTTTTCATGTAATGACCTAAGTTCTCCCTAAACAAAGGCCTTCAACGAGCCAGTTGGTACCTGGTGAGAAAGTTCAAATCTTTCACTGCCACCGTGTTGGCACAATTTCGTTTTGTGGGAATGGGGGTATTGTAGACTACCACATATTACCTACCACCAGATGCATTAGGTAGTCTCAGAATGGTCCAGTATTTGTAGGGCAATCTCTTAGTCCAGTCTCGGTACAATCCTCTTCTTTCAAATAATAATATGATGCTTGTGTTCCTAAATAGCTGATAATTACAAACATTTAAATAAATAAAAAACTATATTTCACGTTTATTGTGTTCCTACCATAAATACCCTGAAGTTAAAATGGAAATTTAAGAGAAGTGCTATCGGAATATATTTCCATAACAAATACTATTTGATCCACATTCAATACTCATTCATGTTTAAAATTATAAATTTACGTGTTTTAATCTTTTCTCCGTAAAAGAGATAAGGGAGTGAGAAAACTGTACCAAAGTTAGTTCCCTTGAACGATATTTTTGTTAGAGAAGGACACTGCACACTCAACAAGTTGCAGTTTTCAAGAGGAAGGTTCAACAGCTAAGCAAACAGCAGCTGTGAACACTTTAGACTTGCAATACGGCCAAAATGACATTCGACTTTCTTTTTTTAACTCACTGCGTTCCCTCGATTTGCAAATTGTTTGAAAGCAAAACGTAATTTATGATATTATGTACTATTTGATGATATTTCAGTTAGTGCATTATTTCATGCTTATATAACAAACACTCAACTACTTAGATCACTTATCAATCAGTTATATTTGGTTTATCAGTTAGCCAGTCTGTAAAATTGAATTATGACTAACCTAAAACCAAGACAACAAAACAATTTAAGGACCGTTCAATCTTATATCCTTTATGTTTTATTGCAACACTACTCCGATACTTTTCTAATGCCTGATAAAACTTTAATTACAAAGAAAAATATATGTATTTAGTTTTGATTTAATCAAAAATATTATTATCACTATTATTATTACGTTCATGACAGTTAGAAGGTGAATTAATTTTAAAATATTTTCGGCAATGAAGATACATAATTTATGATTGCACCATTATTATAATTTTAGCAGTAGATTTGTTTTCACAATATTTATTTATTGTTTATAATTTAAGTAATATTCAAACAAAGTAATAACACATTAAAGTAATTACGTAACTGTATTTTATTTTAGATTTTAATTAATTTAAGACCATAATTAGGGAATGTTTAGAAGGTAATAATTTGGTTCGAGTGTTGATGAAACTTCACATTAATTGAGTTTTTACAATTTTAGACCAAAATTCAGAATTTTCTTTTGTTATTACGAGAATTTCAATAAAATTATTTCAACCACTTAATCACTATCGAAATTTTATGTTATTTAACCAACAATATTTTATAAACAAATTGTAGCAATTCAAAAAGGGCGTTTTAGAACAGCCTTATAGGTTTAAGTAAGCTATGGTGGCAAAAAGCTAGTTGGTCAAGTTAGAGGATTACTTAACCCTGATTTCAATAAAATACAGTATAAGTAGTTAATCGACACTTCGATTTAATTATATTTAATTTAAAATAAAATATCGTCTTAATAATGTGGATCTAAAACTGCATACCAGCATTTTGTAGACATAAAATAAAGTATTTATTAATGAACAATGCCCGCTGTTCATTACCTGTTAATATCCACTGCAAACCTTAAACCTTCTTGTTGAAAGCTCAATGTTAAAGAGACTTAAAATACTATGCACAAATATCATAAACTAATAAATAGGGCTTGTCATAGCTACCCAAACTCCAATGTAAATGTCATCTGAGTATTTTTTGCCGAGAAATTTAAATTTTCAACTGAACAGATGCAGAACTGAACAAAAGTTTGGGGCGAAAAGTATAGAAATCATTTGCAATTTTGATTAACAGTTAACTTACATTTTGAAAGATAAATAGGATCGTAATATGATTTGGGACCAAAGTTGTTACACGGCCCTAGTCTATATTCAAAATTGGATTAATGTTTTAGGAGAATCTTAATAAGCAATCTATATTCTTTTAATGTTCTCAATG